CTGGCTCAGTGATGTGGCAAATCCTGGTCTCCATGACCCTGCTGCCCCTCTCTGTAAATGGGGATCAACAGGACTTGGATCAGCAGACCTGCCTCCAGCCATTGGAGGGGTGTCCCTGGGCTGCTTCATTAAAGGGAGTGACTATATCCAGGGTGCGTTTTATGGGTTGGATCTCTGCTGTGCGTTTTGCTTTTGTTTAAACCTGTCGGCACTGGATGTTTCCCAGTTAGAACAGAGAGGCTTGACTCATAGAAGTTGATACCAGGAATGGAATCTGTTCCACCGAAAACAGGGACTGATGGTGGGGAATAGTGAGCTACTATTATTAGAGGAAACAAACAAACAAACACAAAACTATAGCCGGCCACACTAAATGAGGAACCTGGTCCCCTAAAGGGAAATGACTTAGCCTGTGGCTCCATTTCACCCTGAGGAAGTTCAAGGGCCTGTCTGGACCGAAATGGGCGGTCGTGGGGAGAAGGACAGAAGGTTTACCAGAACCTGAGACCAGATGGTCAAGCCCTGAGTGGCTGAGAGTCAGATGAAGAAGGTGGATGACTTATCCTTGCTGATCAACGGCTCACAGCTGACTGTAGGCATGAGGAGAGCCCGAGTCCGCACCCTGGGCAGCTGCCCCTGCTTCCCTACCCCCTGGGGATCCCAGAATCTTTCAACCCCACCCAGATAGAGGGACCTGTGGCCTTCAGCTACTCGCTTAACCTCTCTGAGCTTCTATTCTCATCTAGGGATGGAAAAAGATAAAGTTCTACCCCATAGGGTTGAAATCAGCCCACAGCTTTGGCCTAAGAGAAATCAGGCAGTAGGTCAAGTAAGGGATTGGGCCCCACGCGCATGCTGAGCCCAGAGCTCTCCGCATCACGGGCATTCGATACATGTGGGCTGAGATGAAGAATCAGAAGGTGGCCCAGCGTGCCCCCAGCCCAAGACCACAAAGGCCACCTCTGTGGTCATGTCAGTTTCACTGAAGACGAAACCACAAGGCCACCTCTCCCTGGGCCCTGCACCCAGCAGCCCTGGGGCACACTGAGCCCATCCCGAGAGCAGGGGCTGAGAAGACTGTATTGCTGGGGTAGTGCTTTCACTGAGTTTTGTCCCATGGCCTCCTCCAGGCAGCCCTCCTGGATTATTATGGTGCAGACTGCCCCCCATGAAACTCCCAAAGGGCTGACCCCAAGTCTCAGCACACTGCCCAATTGAAGAGTCATCCTCTCCAGGGACATTATGGGGGCTCACAGGTCCCAAGGGTCCCTATGAGTCTGGACACCTGTGGCAGAACCACCCACATGGAGCGCCGGGCCAGGGAACTAGGAAAGTGGCCCAGACCTTGAGTCATGTGAACCTCAGCTAAGTGGCTCTGGGACCCTGGGCAGATGTTGCCTCTCTGCAGGCTTGTCTCCTCAGAAAATTCAGAATCACCTCACAGTTCTTATGAAGCTTTAAGAGCTACACGTCAGGACAGGAGCCCCAGTGCCATCATGTCCCCCCCCCTCCCCCCCGCCGTAGGAGCCCCCAGGAGCTGACCCATTAAGAGAAGCTGTGCGGCATTTCTCCCCTGGCTCTGTACTTAGGGTGGCTTTCGGGGAAGGGGAGAGGGTAATGCTGCTGCTCTAGGCTCTGGGCTGAAGGCTATTACTCCTCCTCTAGGTCATCTTTGGCCTTGACTTGGGTTGTTACCTAATAGCTATGGGATCCTGGGCAAATCACTTTTCTCTGGGCCTCAGTTTCTGCATCAACCAAAACTGACCATGCTCTCTTTAGGTTGTTGTAAAGGTTCCATGAGGTGAAGCATGTACCGTGCCTGGCAGATAGTAGGCCCCCTATTCATGGCGGGGGATGTTGGTCATTCGTGTTAGCATTGGGAATATTGTTCCGAAGGAACTGCGATCAAAGGAGGCTGCAATGACAGTCACAGAAGCACTCACTGCTGCTTCAATGTCCCCTCCCCCTGGGACAGAGGGACCCCAGCACACACCTGAGGGCCTCTCAGAGGTCACCTGTGCCCTTCGGGGAGCAGAAGGTTGAGAACGTGGCAGGCCTCCTCCTCCGGCGGGGGCTATAGACACAGAGGCAAACACGGCCACTCAATTAGTGTCTTTATTCGTACTGTTGACATTTCCCATGGGGAATTGTTGAAGGGCGAGGAGGGGAGGGTGGAGCAGGGAGCGTGGCTTGGTTTTCCTCCATCCGGTGGAGGAAGTGAGGGGACAGGCTCGGACTAAGAGAGTGAACAAGGGCACCATCGCAAGGTGGGCGGAGACGCTTCACCCAGTGACTTCAGGCGGCCCGAGTCCTTCTGTCAGGAAATGCGATTTCAAAGTGGAAAAGTAAAAAACAAAACAAAAAACGATGGAAAGAAAAGGACAAAGTGCATACAGAAAAGGCTCTAAGGCAGCCAGCAGTGGGAAGCCAGGTGTCTGGGTGGCCTCCTGGCCACGCCTCTCCCCCAGGCCAGGCTAGGCCGGGCTGTTGGGCCACCAGTGCCCTCTTGAGACAGTCCCTGTTGGCTGGAAGCCACAGAAGGTTGTGGAGGGAGGACAGCACCAGGGTGTGGCAGCACCAGGGCGGCCCAGGGCAGGGCCGCATTGAGGAGATCAAAGCCTCTCTGGGGAGTGGCCTGGAAGGCTGGTGGGCTATGGAGGGATAAAGCGCCCCTTTCCTTGGGCACAGGGCACAGTCACTCTCTGGAATCTTCTATGACCGGGTGGCGGTGAGAATGCTGTTTAACCACAGAGCTGAAGGCTGCCAGGCCCGTCCGGGTCCTTCCCTGGCGCGCGGGGCCCGGCGTGCAGAGCGTGATGGAGACGCCGGGCCGGTGGGCGCTGCGACCAGCTCAGCAGCCCAGCCAGTCGTTCTTGATGCTTCCGAGCTTCACGTTCCTCAGACTATGGTTCTCCAACATCTGGTAATAAGAGCCCTTGAAGAAGTAGCTGTAACCTGGGACGAGAGAGAGGAGAGGCTGTGAGCAGCCCAGGCCTTCTGGCCCTGGAAGGTTCCTGGGAGCTTTGAAAGCCCGCGTGCCCCAAGGAAGAAGCTTTTAACCCGGAGGGGACCCTCCGAGGCTGGGAAAGGGACACGGCTGTGGGAGTAAGCTCTCGGAGTCGTCTTCAAGATGGGAATAGAGGTACCACTTAGGGCCTGTGGTGAAGCTGAAATCAGACAATACCAGCTACTACTAATGTACTTAGTACCCCTCTGAGCACCATCCCTAAACCGGAGGCAACAAACCAGGAGGCAGCTCCTCCCACGGGCCCACAGATGGGTTTTATTTGGCGCACACAAGGTGTTTTATTTGGTGGTTGTTTTGTTTCATTTTGAATTCTGCATAAGTCGCTACCGTATAAACATCTGTATGTGTCACAAGGAAATACAGACTTTTTCTGCTTCCTTTGAAAAGAACTGGAATATGCAGCCACATCGGGCCCCGTCCTTGCAGGGCAGCCATGATCAGAAGCAGAGAAGCAACTGCATGTCCCCTGTCAGCGAGCCATGTGCTCTCTGGTTCGCCACAGACCCCACCACTCCCTACTGTCTGCCTGGCCTACTTCCCTCATTTGTGCTACCGGCCTGGCCCCTCTGGGCTTTGGAATCTGTGACTCCTGACATACATCATCTCGTTTACTTCCTTTAAAACCCTGGCACACAGTAGGTGCTCGTTGGTTGTTTATTCCTGAAGATCATCCTTAACCCAGCACCTTTAGCCACTAGAGGTCAGGGCCATGTGCTTAGCCAGCATATGATAGGGGCTCAAAAAAAAAAAAATCTTCCTGGAATTTAATTAAAATGCTCTCTAAAAAGCCACGCTGGATCCCTTCCAGGGCCCTAGAGACTCCCAGAAGCCTCCTCAAGAATATGGCTTTCAAACTCCAAATTCTACCCTTCGATGACACTGGCTGTTCTGTCCAGCAAGGGAACCGGGGCACAGTGAGTTGAACGGGGACCTTTGCCACATCAGCAAGAGGCCATGACCAAGCTGGTCCTATCTCAAACGGAGCCATCCTTCTGCTGACGGGAGGCGGTGACGAGGCCTCCTGCGGAACCCAAAAGGGCCTGGATCAAGCCCCAGAATGAATGCAGGGCACCGAGCCCATGTTCCTGGCCCCCCACAGGCCTCCCGCCCCCCCACCCCCTTCCCTGGCTCCAGGCCCTGCAGCTGTGAGAGGCCTCTCTGGGTCTTACTGCCTGGAGCCTGCTGCGTGAGCGGAGGTCAGGGGTCTGGATGCCTTCCCAGCCCTGGCTGAAGGCGCCGGTTTGTTCTCCCCGGCCCCACCGGCCTCCCTGCACAATGAGGGAGTGTGTGCTCGTAGGACAGGGGCCCTGGTGGGGGCGGGGGGCGGGGCTAGAAAGCAGACAGAGGCCGGGCAGCTCACCACCAGCCTGCAGGTCCACCGCGGCATCCAGGTCATCGTAGATGGCGTTCCAGGCGTCTTCGATGAGCTTGGGGAAGTCGGGATCCATTTTCTTCTTCACCTCGTTGTATCTGCAAGGGACGGGACGTGGTGAGCCAGTGGGGCCGCCCTCGCGGCCACCCCTCCCCGGACCTGGATGCGAGGGCCCCGCTGACGGCTCCTGGGTGGGCCCGGGCAACCAGACCTCGCCTTTCTGGGAGGCGGCCGGCTGGTCAGAGAAGGTCTGAACCCCAGCTCCCCAGCTCCCTCATGACGTGACTTTCACAGTCCAATAAAAACCAC